AAAAAATAAAAAAAGGTTTTAGATTTTTTTCTTTTTTTTAAACTCCTTTATTATAAAAAAAAAAAAAATAAAAAAAGGTTTTAGATTTTTTTCTTTTTTTTAAACTCCTTTATTATAAAAAAAAAAAAAAAAAAAAAAAAAAAAAAAACTATCTCATGTGTGCAGCATTTTCTGTCTGGAGCTGTTTTAAATATTATAACTTTAAAAAAAATAAGTGAAATTCACAAAAAAAAAAAAAAAGCTTAGCTACGTATTACTGCCATCTACTGGATAGAAGTGCAGCCAGGAATTGTGACATACAGAAAAAAGATATTGGTATTTCCAGGGACAGCGTTATAGGTCATCTCATGCTGCTGCAGCTTCAACACACGTTGTTCTCCTTTTACCTGTTTTTATCACCACAAGGTGCAGAGAGTCGTCCCTGATGTATGACACTGCAGCAATGTCGTGGATTGGCACTCTAAGGATGATGTCTTCTCCATCTCGCCAAACAAGCTTGATGTTGTACGCAGACAAGCTCACAACTGCATCCTGCTCTGATGTCAGCTGGCCCGCCAACTGATGGGATTTCTGGAAAATAGGAGCAGGAAAACACTACATCAGTAATTCTCAAAGTCCAGACTCTGATCTGGACTGGACCATAAGCCAACCGTGATCCAGTCTTCAGGGGCTGAAAACGCAGATGATATTGTGGAAGTGGACAAATAAAAGTGCAATACTCTCAACTGACAGAGCAAAACAATAAAAACCTGTAAAGCAAAGCGAAAAGCGAGAGAGTATGAAGTAGGGCTGAAACGATTCCTCGAATGATTCAAGTACCTCGATTACTAAAATTCCTCGAGGAAAATTTACCTGCCTCGAAGCTTCGTTAATTTATGTTTTATTATTTAGCGCACCGTGTTCCGGCCGGGACTTCATTTGCGTTGCGCGGAGCTCTCACTTCCGCCTCTGAGTTGTTGACAAAAGCTAAGTCTCAGCGGCATAAAGTCCAATCTTCAAGATTGGCCCGTGGGGATTTTATTGATTGATGATAATGCCCGACTTTTTATCGTTTTTCAAAAAAAATAATCATTACTCAAAAAAATAATAAAAAATAAAAGCCAGATTGCTCACAGGGACAAAGACCTTCATTTTTAGAGAAATCTCCTGTAGTCTGATGAAACTAACGTAAAGCTGTTTGGTCATATTTAATGTTACATTTGGAGTTGATGGGGGCGCATGGAAACACCATCCTAACGGCAAAGCATGGTAGTGGCAGTATGATGTTATCGGGCTGTTCTGCTGGGAACAAACAGATCTTATAAACAGACAACGACCCAAAGCATACAGCCAAAGTAGTTACAAAGAGTTGGCTCTTTATACATAAAGTTTGTTCACTGGGATTAAACCACTTCCTGCTACTGTCAGCTTTGTACTAGTAACCACCCAAATAAAGATGTAGGAAAATCGTATTGATCGTCCAGGCCAACACTGTGCATATACTTACTCTTGCATTGTCAATGAGCTGCAGAACCTCTGTTCGACTCGATGGGTTCAAGTATCCTGGAACTGATGTCAGCTGCCCTAAATACTGGACAGGACAGAGCAGGTGACTATTTTACATTAAGAGTTTTTGCATGCAACTTGTTAGATCCCTTTACTATGTGTACGATCAAGAAACGAATACGTGGATAGCTAAACTCACTTTTACTTCCTTCTCAATGTAGTCGTTAAGCAGAATGTCAGGTTCAATGCGGTGGTCAGGCTGAGACAGGGAGAAGGTGTGGAGGGCCCTGCGCTCTGTGGATTTCTCCTGAGCCTTCTTGTCTCTTCCCTTCTCTCCTTTCAGAAAGACCCGCTTGAACGGAGACACAATCCCCGGCTATAGAAAACAAAACAGAGGGGTGATGAGAAAAATATATAGGCTGATGGGCATGTGTGCAAACGTAACAGTGACGTGCTTTCACAAACATGACCAAGTCGCATCATATATGGAGCAAAATAGGCCAAACTACTCTATTCAAGTCATGTAGCAGACTTAAATAGCATAGCTATCTATATAATACTCCCACATAGTTTTAGTAGTCCGATTAAGTTTTAGTAGTCGAATTAAGTTATTGCTTAGATATACAAATAAATATACAAAGAGATGAAATAGTAAAGTTCTATTGACTGCATTCGTGTTTCTCCTTACCGTTTTAACAAAAGCAAAAGGAATAACAATGATACTGAGAGTCTAGCTCAAATATAAACACATTAGTATAACTACTGCGTTTTGCATAGGCGAAAACAAAATCTGCTTGAAGAGCTTGGTATTTTAAGCCACCTCGTAAAAATCTATTCGGACCCAGAAGACTTTAAAAAGCGTTACCTCACTCTCCATGATCCCGCAAGCAAGCAGTCACACACACCTGTTCAATAGCAACTTCGCAGCCCGGCAACGGGTGCAGCTACAATTACTAATCTATCCCCAGTTGGCCCGATCTTGCAAACTGACAGCTGCCAACTGACGAGAGGCGCAGCGCACCAGACCTGGGCGGTGCGCATGACGGGTGTGACCCCCACAAAAAGGAAGGAACGTGTCTTTGACTTCTACTCAGGCACAAGAACAGGAAAGGAACCGGCCACAACTTCCTGTGATGACACGCGCTTTAAATGTTGTGACATTCACTTCTGCATCAGACTTCTCATGGCTTTTTTTTTTTTTTTTTTAAGTTTGCTTTGCAGACAATGGCCAAAAAAAAAAAAACACTCACTCGTGCATTCACTCTTAAACTTACTAATATTCTGATGTCACAGCTTCAGCCCGACTCACTTTCTGCAAGGACTTTGCAACCGAGTCTGTGCAAAAGTCTGCAAAACCACGGCAAGAAAGGACGGCATGCATTTCACTGTGCTAACCACACCAGTCACATCTTAAATATTGGTTACGTCGTAGATTTACAGAAGGGAAATGTAGAAAAAAAAAGACTTAAACATTCATCTCATGCTTGCTGCTTGTTTTCCCCTTATTATTATTTTTAGATTCAACTCTGACTTTGTCAGATAAGTTACATACAAGCATCACTAGCATGTGAAAATAACAAAATAACACAAAGAGTTAAAGACAAGAAACCTCCTCCAAGACAAAATTGTATGATTGATTGCTGTGCCTCAAACTTCTAGTCTGTCCTACAATATTCCTATATCTCCTGTTATCCGTAATGTCCACAAGAAGCTTGGATGATTTTAAATCTCTTCTAAAAACTCATTTATTTTCCTTGATTTTTTTTTATTCTTGGGGGCTGGAGAATTAGGCCCCCTAATTCTATTCCTGCTTTTATTGCTTTATTGTGTTTTTGTTTCTTTTCTTTCACTTTCTTTGCCTATTTTACACATGAAGAACTTTGGTCACTTTCTTGTGTGTGAGAGTGTTACACAAAGACTGATTAATCAAGGGATATTTTTAATCCACGACTCTCTTATTCTGCCTGTAGGCTTTTCACTTTTTGAGTCGGACATCGTCACAAGAAATGAGGTGATGCTTTAATATCTCGAAATGTTCCTGTTCCACCCCATGAATATTTTCTGCAATGTCTCCTGTATTTTCGACAAACTTGAAGTAGAGCTACCTAATCTGTTTTTTAAGGCAGTATCTGTTTCAAGTCACATTGAAAGGATCATTTGAAATATTTAACATTAAAAACTAACGAGACTTCAAAAATTGCCATAAACTAAACACACATTAATGACACATTCTCAACTAACCATATGTTGATGAACAAATCCCATTTGCAGTTCTGTTTAAAAAAAACAAAAACAAAGCAAATATGTTTACGTACAGCCCGAAAATAATTGTTTTAGCATACAGATGACACTGATGATGTTTGGCTGCTTACAAAGTTAATACTACAACACCACGGTAGTGCCGTTGCATTATTTAATAGTATGCCACAGCTCAACACATTAACATTTTACGACTTCTGCCAGTGACATGCGATACGGCAGCCTTGGCAAGCAACTTACTTGCTATTAACTTTTGCATTTTCTTAACCGAGAGAACAGCAAGAGAGGAAGGCATTTTCATGGAATATGTAAAGCGACACTTTTCAAGGTTAATGACAGAGACATGTAAATGTCTTGGTATTATTCACTGAAAGCTACATAGTACAAGATATGGTTGATTCAGCAGTAAAATTTCTATATTTATGAATCGAGTTCTTTCTCTTCCAAAATCCAGTTGGTAGCGTTAGTGGATTACTGATGTTGAAAGAAATAGAAAAAAGCTTCTACAGAAATGACATTTCCGTCAATGTTTGCCAAAAATCATGTGTCAGCCCGCAAATGAGATTTCAAACCTCAATGGTCTAGAGTAGATCTGCACTAGACCGAATATTGCATAACAAAAATGAGTCAAGATAACGCTTGGTAAAATTAAAAGGAGCAATCTATCACGTCGTTAAAGTGATTCTCTATCAGCACCATGTGGTAAAAATAGTAACTGCATTCGGTTGAGTTGCCCATGTACCAAAATAAACATTACAAAGAGGCATTAAACTCATGCCATTAAGGATAAAAAAAAATATGATCACCGCTTTCTTCCAATGACAAACAAGAACAGAGTAGCTTGTTTGTTTTTTCACCGTTTGTCCCATCTTGACGTTTAAGAAAACGACAGAAGGTACCTTTGCAAATTATTATACGTCTAGTATTGAAAGTAAATCCCACATCAGGTGGGAGTCATTGCATAGTATTGCAGGGTCCGTTTGTTAGGGGGAGATAGTAAATCTGCTCACTCTCTTGAGCCAGAACAACTATCGAAAACAGTTTCTAGTATCAAGCAAACGTGTTTTGTCTGTCTCTTAAATATACAATACTGCGTCGAGGAATTACGGTACGCACCTATTACATTAAGGAATAGGCTGATCTTACAGTAGTCTTAGCTATGCAATAATTCCTAAATGTTATTTTAAAAAATTTAAGCCGATAATTGCAGATGAGCAACAACTAAAACGTGAAACCAAAAAAGTGAAGAGCGCTGAGGTTTATAACATGGAAACCGACTGAAGAACAATCGTTCAAAAGTTTAATGCAGATCTGACTTGGGGAAAAAAAAAACCTAACTCAAAGCACTAAACTCCACTAATCAGACACATTATGCAATATTCACGAGTATTCTCTCTTTTGAATAGCTTATTAAACATACCATCTACATGTTAGTGTTGTAAAGTGGTGTGTTTGATTACGATTGCTTGTCAGCTAACACTAAACTTTTCTAATTAGCTAACAGTTAGCCTTACTCCCGGCAAGCTAACAAGTTAGCATGTAGTTAATATGCAAAAAAAGTGCACCGCAACCCACCTTTTTTACTTTTTTCACATCTTCCTCCATCTCTAAGTTGTCTTCTTCATTCTCCCTTCAGCCCGGAGATCTATGTGAGACTGGGTGAGACCACAGGAGCTTTAAAACAGCACCTACCTAAGGGCGGTTAGCCTGCTAGGCTAATTTATTTTAGCACTGTGTATCTAAAGAGATACCCAGTTAGGAGCTGATAGCAACTCGCCATCCCAGCTCCCTTCTTACGGCTTAACAGTTAGACAAAAACCCTGATTATCAGTGACTTAAAAAAAAAAAAAAAAAAACAGACACGGCGCGTGTCTAGAGCAACTGCGGAAAAGGTGTGGTAAAAAGACAAACTCGATGAAAACAGCAAAAACTTTTCAATCGTGCCGCCATTTTGGGCGTTGAACTGTAGTCCAGCATGCTTTGCTTTCCTCAAACCAAAACAGCCTGCTGGCGTTGTGCATTACTGAGATTACTGCACTTATACGGAGGACGCAATCGGCAAAAAAATTTACAAAACATTTTTAAAAAATGGCATAAAGGATTTGAATATTTGCAAACTCACCACAGAATACCACATAGACCAGAAGGCAATAATGTTCTAGTGCTTAACTTTATTATTTGCTTTAGTCATCAAAACAGAGAAAAGAATCAAATCATTAACGATAAACACAAAGTAATATAAAGGTGTAAGTTAAGTCAGTGCTAATTACATCTACTCTACTCTTTGTCTAATATAGTTTAAATATTATATTACAAGACAATAATTTCTGGAAGGAGATTGGCATGTGTCCTATATCAGTGGTTCCCAATGCTTGGCTTTGGACCTGACTCATGAAAAATAAAGCAAAGCGGTCTTCAAATTATATTGGGAAATCAATTTTAAAAATTATAAAAATGACAGAAATTACAATATGTTTGCTATTGTTATTAAATCTGACAAAAACAATTTTGTTAAATTAAATTTAAATTGCAGTTTCACAGGATAAACTTGTTTACATAATTAACACATCCATTTAAAATGTATTATTTTTTCCTATATTTGCCAAGAACAATAATAGATGAATAGTTCTTATGTATTTATGTTTTCCTAGTATTTTTTTCCCTGTTTTTTTTATTTGTTCATTTCCACTGATTGTTAGTTTCCATTTTTTATAATTAAATCACTAGAATAATAACAATAAAAAATATTGTGGCTGATTATTTTTCCATCACACATTTTCTACCTATTACAACACACTTAGTCTAATTTTGAAGAACTTCTCTTTTCTTTTCTTGTTAGCTTGAAATTAAGTATATTGACTCTGGCATGTTGATTTCCAGCAACTTGCGATAATTTCCACATTTTTTTTCAGTGGGAATATTACTGTAAATAGTTTAGAAGAGTGACTTAGAGGCTATTTATTATCTTTTATTAAAAAAATATTTTTGCTTGCTGAGAAAATAACATAACGTGTAAATTCTTACAGTTACATATAATGTAGCTAATACATTATAATCATGCCATTCCTTTTGCTACCTTGACTGATCAGAAAAAAGAGAGACTAACAAAAAATAAAAACACCACTGGGATTTTCCACTTTCAAATACTATATTTATTTTTCTCTTCTGGGATGAACAGTCTGATATATGAATCTACAGTAAGGCTTAACATTACATTTTCAGCATAATATTTCTCTTTTCATCTAAAAACCAAAACATACAAAATAACTTTAGCACCATATGTTATTAATAATATTCATATTGTTCCCAAAAATAGGGCGTAAGTACAACACTGGACATCAGTTTTGCTTTTTTTTTTTTTTCTTTTCAAAGAAATGGGGATTCATTAAAACAATTTACTTACGTTTTATATTTAACAACAACAAAGAAATTCCTTTGTATATGTTTTTCTCTCACAACATAGGCTGCAATGTTTCCACAATCGTAAGGAGCTACATTATGTAGCAGATTTAATGACTAACTTTTGGAATACCCCAGAAAAATCATATACCCCTCTGGAGTATTCATGGAACACACCAACAAGCTAACACAATCAATAGGTTGATTAAATATAAACAAAGCCAAATTCCCAACACTTTTAAAAAAAATCCAAAAAAAAAAAAAAAAAAAAAAAAATCAGCAGCAATATTAAGACATAGTTGCTCTGTCGGAATATCAAATTCATTTTTGAAGAAAATATTACAGCTGATTCTACAATTAGCAAAATAATAAAAACAAAAATAGATACATACAGATAAAGGACATATAGGTGACAGGAATTTACAACACAGCAATCACGTTCTATATATATATATATATATATATATTTTTTTTTTTTTTAACCCAAAGTCCAACTGCAGATGTACAGTTGTGCTCCTTCGCTTTTGCTGAAAGGATACACTTTGTCATCTGTTTCATTCTCTCAGAGAAAAAGAATTGAAATCCTAGTGCAGACAGATTTATTGCAAAATAAAACCCCACCATACGCTGAACCCAATAGAATAAACATTATTCAAACAGTAAGAACTGTAGTCTTTTTTTCTTTTTTTTTTTTGTGAAGGTTGAGAAATTAAAATGGCACCATTGAGAGTTGAGTTCTGCTGTAAACTGTGTGGATTTGAGGTGCTGGCTGCAGAGCATTCAAAGACTGCACATTTTGTGAGGGTGCAGGTTTTCTCGGTTTCACTGCAAGTGTATATGCTCTCAGAAAGCCAAAAAGTGGACCCTGAAGTCCACCTTGGTAGCACCTTTTAAATGTGTGTTTTTTTTTTCTTTTTCAGCACCAGGTTATTGACAAAAAGATACAGAAGGAACAAAACAAACAAACAAAAACATAATTGCACTGATTTACTATCCCCAACATCCTTCCCTTTTGGTAAAAACGACAGTTGTGACTTAAACCAGGTCAAACACTACAATGGTCTGCTGCTACACATTAATGAGAAATCAAACTGACTTTTGAGCACTGACATGCTAAATGCTGAGGTTCACCTGACAATGAGCCCTAAAATTCATGCTAGGAAGTGGAAGAAAATATGGGTATTTTAAAACAATATAGTAATCTACCTGTTTTATCATAGAAAATCCAACACAACACTTTTTTTTTTTTTTTTTACACATTTTGTCATCAACCTCCTCCTATTTGTACCACAAGCATTGTTGTTTTGGCTGGAGGATGCTTTCACAAAACACCGAAAATGCTTGAAGTTTACTTCTTGGCACCACAAAATATTCATAACGGCAAGAAATAAGAAGATGTAAAGGCATAAACAAAAGTGCTTAACAATCGACCATATTTGTTTTCAACGTTGTGGCTGGTTTGTGTTGTAAATCTCCATCAAAAACAATCCAAACGTTATGGTTCAGGGCCAAATA